ATTGTCTCTAAACTTCACGTCGATCCTGCAGAGGAACTTGTATTATTTCCCTTCTCACCAACCTTACAGATGAGAAAATTGGGGCTCAGAAGTCAAGTGTCTGGCCTGAGGCCACACAGCCACTCCATGGTAGAGCCAGATGAGGGATCAGGATCCATCTCATGCCGAGCTTACTATGTCCCTGTCACCAGGCTGCCTTTCCTGTGTCTCTCCTAGCACCCAGCAGGTGTTCAAGAAGCCTGCTGCTGAATGTGTATATACTCTGTGCAGGCCCCAGCTGCCCCTTTCTCAGCTGCCCCTTTCTCCAAACCCACTGAGAGCTATAATGTCCCTGCAGGCTTGCTCAGAAACTCTCAGAAACTCGCAGACCCTCTCAGCTCCCTTCACAGCTAGAAGTAGCACCTGCCCAAATTCCCTGGTCTCTGGCCTCAGTTTCCCCTCTGTCTTTCAGGCCACACACCTGAGCACACTCCTCCCTGCTTTGAGCAGACAGACCGACAGCACTGGCTGGGCTTCTGCCCCAGGCCTGACCCTCACCATAGAAGCCTCTGGGGCCCAGCCACCTCCATCCTCCTCTATTTCTCTGAAACGTCAGGCCTGGCACTGCCCCCCTCAACCCCCTCTCCCTGCGGCCTCCTGGGAGCCCAGGCTTTGCTTGAGGGCAGCGAGTGAAGCCGGCTGTAACAGAGAAACCTCAGGCTCCTCTTTAGAAGTCCCCGGAGGAGGCAGATCTGAGGAAAGGCTGCCGAGAAGGCGCCTGCAGCAATGTCAGCTTGAGAACAACCGGGCTGACAGGATGCTGAGCGGGGATTAAGGTCGGGATCAGGGAAGCCGGGGAAATGAAGGCAAGTTCCCCGCTCCCCTTGCTGCCACCGCTGCCTCTGCCGCTGCTGCTGGGCTTGTCTTCTTGTTTGTTCTCACTCTGGGAAAGTGGGTGGAGAGGGAGGTGTGCAGGGGTGAGGCAGGGAGGTGGGGGAAGGGGGTGTGGAGAAGGGCAGGCAGGTGAAGGGAAGTGAGAGGAGAGGAAGCCAGGCCTCCTCTGAGTCTCCTGGCTCAGCCAGGGGCGGGGCAGAGGCACAGAAGGCCCTGACCTGGGACCTGTCAGCCAGTCTGCCAGCCAGTGGGGAAGCCACCACTGCCTCCTAACTTTCCTCCATGTCCTGAGTGTGGGCGGTGGGACTAGTGAGGACAGAACTGACCTCACCCTGAGAGGTTCCTAGGCCAACCAAGCAGATGCAGTACACTTCTAGAAAGGGGACCATCCTGTTTCCACCTGTCCACAAACGTAAGCTTCACTGTTCTAGGGAAAGATTATCACCCAACCTGCCTTGTCATTGAAATGTCACAAGAGCCCAGCCAAATGGTCGACTGATTTCCGGGTCATCCAGCATGCCAAACTTCTAGAGAAACCTTGGACCCTTGCATTGTCACTGGTGTGTGGCTATGAATGTAGTTTCTAGGACTGCATGGGCTTGAATTTTGGCTTTGCCACTAATTTGCTATGTGACCTCGGGCAAGTTGGCCAGCCTCTCTATGCCTCAGTGGGATATAATCCTAGCACCTCCTCCTAAGGTGGTGAAGAAGATGAGGGGAGTGAACGCGCACAGGGTGCTTGGTGTAGGGCCTGCCCCAGCAGACGGAGGATGTGCCATAGGGCAGCTTTATTTATTATGGGGCAGAGTGAAGGAACAATAGGGTCACTTGAAGTTACCCAGTGAAAGCTTCCTGGAGGAAGAGGTGTGGGAATCTGAACTGGAGGCTGAGACTGGGCAAGGGTGGAAGTATGAATCAGGGCTGAGGAACAGATAGCCCACTTGTCAGGTGAGTGATTTAAGGATGTGTCTGGTGAGAGGCAGAATGGGTGCATTTCCTAGGGGGCCCACTCCCAGCTGGTCTTTCTCAAAAGCCCCCTCTGTAACCAAGGGTAACATGACTTTTCTCTCCCAGCCCTGCCAAGAGTAGGCCAAGGGTGCAAAGACCATGAGAAGATGCTGTTTTTCATGGCGACCTTCCCAGAATGGAGCTTATTCCAGAAATCTTATTGATTCAGACAGATTCCAGTTGAACCTGAGTTCTCTGGAATTGGTGAGAGAAGAGGCAGGAGGGGAGAGTATAAACCTGGAGGCAAATGGTTCCTGGGGTTGGGTTCCAGTTTTACTGCTGACCAGCTTTGTGAGCTGGAACAAGTCAACTAGCCTCTCTGGGCCTCAGTTTCCAGGTTTGGGAAATGAGACAATAATATCTACCTTGGAGTTTTAACAGTGAATAACTGCTCAGTAAATACCCACTGTTGATCTTTGCCTTGGCTTAGAGTTAGGCCAAGGTACTAACCAGGTACTGGAGTCCTAATAAAGGAGACCCTTTCTTGGCCCTCAAGGAGTTGGTAGTTCACATTCAAGTACAAATATGAGGCTGAAGGTAATGGTGCTACCTTAAAGGCTCACCCAGGAGTCAAGGTGGGGGGAGTTCTTGCCTCTATGTCTCATGCTCTACAACCTGCTCACCTGGCCCACCCTGCAGCCTCTCCTGAGAAGCATCAGCCCCTTGCCTCATCTGTGGACACCTTGGCCAGTGGGTTGAGGGGGTAGGGAGAAGGTCTGGGTGGGAGTAAGAGCCTGGGGTGGGGTCTTAACAATTGGGAAAAGGACCTACTGAGTCTGATTTCTTGGGAAAAGCCCTAGGCAAGCAAGGGGGCCCAGTCTCTGCAGAACTGTGTGGCGAGCACCTTACTGGGAATTTATCCCTAGGAGTCTGGTTTTAGAGAAGCTAATTTTTAAAAATGCCTTTTCTCTTTTTCTGTTAATAGAAGGCATATAGGCTCGGCGCCTGTGGCTCAAGTGGCTAAGGCGCCAGCCACATACATTTAAGGTGGAGGGTTCAAATACAGCCCGGGCCCACCAAAACAACAATGATGGCTGCAACCAAAAAAATA